ACGGATTTGCCAGTATCAAGAGCCTCAGTAATGTCTTCCACAAAGGAAACAAGGTTAGTGACTGTTGATCTAGCTTTCACAAACCCATGCTGCTCAGATGCAACATTTTTTTTAAAGTGCCATGAAACAACGGGACATATAAGTAGCTCAAATACTTTTGCAAAAACAGAAATAATGGAGATAGGTCTATAATTTTTAACCGCCTCTTTGTCACCGGTTTTGAACAAAGGCAACACCAGAGCTTTTTTCCATAAGGTTGGATATGTACTAGTGCTAAGAGATCTGTTGACAATCAATGCAAGTGGCAAAGCCAACGCACTAGCGCAATTACGGACAAATATCGATGGAATACCATTTGCGACAAATATCACTGAGTTGATATCGGGTAACGGTGGCTATCTGTCATCATCTATCATCAATATCATACATTAACCCACCGTATGCAAATCTACAGTTAAAGTTTGAGAGCACAGATTGAAGTTTCTCGCCTTTCGAAAATTCTATATTAATAACAGATTATAAAAAATATGATATAAGTAATAATATTAAAAATAAAATATAAATTGATTAATCTATATATAAATAGACGAAGATAAAACAGTTCAGTACCTTTTTCTCCTCTGTTTTTCAACCGATTTTCTTTTTTTTTTGTTTTGTAGCTTTTGACGTTGCTAGTGTTGTCAATAAAAAAAATTTGAAAACAATTTGATTATGGTATAAAACATTAATGATAAGGCATGGTCGTATTTCGACCATGCAGGGCAAACTAAAAAAACTAGAAAAATTAAAAAACGAAAATTAATAGATACTTTATAATAAATATTCGTAAAATAAATAACTTAGAACCATCAATTTTTAGTTTTTACGGTAATCCCGTTAAAAAAAAGTTTGTTCTTGGGATTCTGTCATGTTGGTCAGCCATTAGATTCGTTTTGACGAATCCCATGAATTATATATTTTTTTAAATGTGTGTATTTTTAGTAAACTGATACGACGAAATGCTATGATGTTTTTAACATTGGGAAATACATTTACGCGTACCACGAAGTAGCATATAGACATAGATACTTTCTGGACCTAGAAATTATTTCTGTACAGAAAGTAGTTGGTACAGAAAGGTAGTAAAAAGATAAGGTAGTGTTCCTAGGTATTTGTTTTTTTCACTTAGATCAGAGAAGTTCAAGGAGCAACCGACCACCCATTACTTTTCTTGGTTTTACGTCCGGCTGGATTGCCGGACGCTAACGAGCCCATCACGACGCATCCGACCGAAGCAATTGTAAATCTCCAGTAAGATATAAATACATGATAAATGTAAACACACGACACGTTTGGCCTAGTCTGTAGTGACGCTATTTGCTGTGCCAGCGGTCGCGGGTTCGAGTCCCGCTTAGGGCATTATTTCTTTGATGAGCACGAATGTTCGTACTCCAGTCATGGCTGATTATATTTATAATATGTACGTATTTATTAAAGTTATATATGTGTAGTGTATTATGGTATCCATAACACAAGCCTCGTAGCTTACCATGGAACTAGATGGTGTTAATGTCTCAACATATTACACGTTTTTTTTGTCTTTCTCTAACAACAGCAGATTGACTTAACTTTTTGGACAGAACGAGACAGATACATATGTCACTTTTTATACAGATGACTACCGCTTGAGCAACAGCGGTTCACTAGAAGCAATAAGTACCCATGGCCTAGATGATAAGTATAATACGTCATTGAGAACCGTAGTTACAAAAATACATTGTTAGTTTTCTAAGCCAAAAATAGCTAAGCCAATTATGATGGGAGTTTGTTAGAGAATTATATAAAAAAGCTATTTTTTTCGGATTTTCTCGCAGTTTAACTTTTTTTGGTCACGGTCAGTAACTATGACTTGAGACTGACTGTTCATCCATATATGTATATAAAAATCGATGTGTGTGTATATATGTTCCCTATGGACTCCAAAACGGCTGGAACGATGTCGCTGAAGTTTTCAGGCAATTTTTACAGTAAGTTTGATTGCAAGATGCCGATGCCGCGTGTACTGCTTAGTCTATACACATAATAAAATTCTAACCGAATCGAATCTGTACATAAAATATTTTTTGGAAAATTTTATTGAAATAGTCATAATTATCGATACATAGGCCGAATCTATAGTTTTTAGAATTTTCGTGTCTGTCTGTGACCGCATCACGAATAAATCACTGGACAGATTTTGAAGTATTATGATCTGCTTATCCGGGTCAACATATAGGATACTTTTTACTGTGGGAAAATATCTCATCTCTGAGAAATCTATATAAACTTTTAAAACTAGGGACGTATATGAGCAAGTCGCTAGTTCTTTATAAATATAATATTCTGTAGTGCTGTTATTGTGTGTATATAATCGTTTTCTTTGACAATTTAACCGATTTTGATTTTTGAACATTAGACATCGCAAGTTGACACGTGTTTGTTACAAACTGGGATAAAGACAGACGCGAAGTTCTGGACAATGAAGCGGAACGACCTCCGAGCTTCAATGGATTCACATTAAGCAATTGATATGAGATATTGTTTATACTACACTTACTAACATTATCAAACCGAAAGTATGTCCGTCTATTGAACTAATATCTGGATATATGAGAGCTACTTGTTAAATTTCAATGTAAATAAACATTTAGTTTAATACTTATGTACATAATTACAAGTTTTAAAAAAAAAAATTGTAAACCGACTTCAAAGTCTAAACGTACAAAATAACTAAATATAGTTTTTATATATACCTATATCCTAATCAGATATTTTTGAAGTCGGTTTCTCATTTATTTCCCTATGAAATCGGTCAAACACTACTTACTTATGTAATTTTCGTTTACATCTACGTATTTGTATAGAAAAAATCACAACAATTTATTTCCTGGTGATAACAAACAAACACACTTTTAAAATGTATAATTATTATCTTTACTAATATTATAAAGAGGAATGATTTTTTTGTTTGTTTGTATCAAATAAGCTTCGAAACTGCTGAACCGATTTAGCTGAAATTTGGTAAGAAGATAGTTTGAGACCCTGGGAAGGACATAGGGTAGTTTTTATCCCGGAAATCATCCCTTAAAAGAGTACTATATCCCTTAGACGAAACTTATCCTACAAGATCATAAAATCTCAAGGCATTTGCATTAAAAAAAACATTGATAAACCTCTTTGAACGTAAACCCATATGCCATATCCATTTAAAAAAAAACTTGGAATATAAACCAAGGGTAGGTTCCCATTCAACCGCGCGTGACGTATCGCTTCCGACCTTCGAGCTCCGTTGGAGATGGATTGGGTAAAATGTAACTAAATATGAGATACGTCTTGAAGTTACATTCTAAACTAACAAGCTTGATTCATGTTATTGTGAATCGTTTTTTAGGGTTCCGTACCCGAAGGGTGCCAACGGAACCCTATTCGTCCGTCCGTCTGTCAAAGGGCTATATCTCATGAACCATAAATCATAATAGGTAGAGAATTGAAACTTTCACAGAGTATGTATTTCTATTGCAGCTATAACAAAAAAAAACAATAACAATTCATGAAACATTCTTTTAACGTTCGTAATCGATCATCGAAGTTAATATACTACATACATACAGTAAGTCATAATAATAAAAACTACATCTACAATGGTACGGAACCCTTCGTGTGCGAATTCGACTCGCACTTGACCAATTTTATTTGTTTTAACTAAAACAACTGTCCGATTCATAAAAGCACCCATGTCACTCTTCAGAGTGTCCACTATCTCTTTGCGAACAATCAAATTGAAGAACAATTTAGTGGGGAATGAACCCACTGAGTTTTAATAATAAACTATTATGTCAAGCGATTGAAATAGTAAAATGGGTACATTTCTTTGTATAACATAAATAAATAGACATCTTTCTAATCTATACAGAAAAATAAAATTGAAGTGTCTGTTTGTAATGTCAAAATAACAGCTTTTTACTAAATGCATATGGAATTATATATGGTACTTATAAGAAAAACACAACTTTTAAAATTTTTGTCTGTCTGTCTATTTGTTCCGGCTAATCTCCGAAAGGGCTGGACCGATTTTGACGAAACTTTCACTGGCAAATAGCCGTTGTTATAAGGAGTAACTTAGATTACTTCTATTTTAGAAAATGAATTAAGGTTCCGCTCAAGAAAATTACAACAAACCTAGGCATGAAGTGAAGGTAAGCGGCTAGTGTTATTAATAATATATAATTAATGACTTTTGTTATCTCATATATTTATTTACGTAGCAAACTCTTGAATAGCTATATACTTAAATAACTGTTTGTCAGTCATTTTGATACAGCTCATATACCATGACTGGTTATGTTGATGCTAATAGAATTTTCACTAAAGGATAGTATAGTCCAAATTTAGTTCATATTACATAACAGATATACAAACATAACTTTTTTTATTTTGAAAATAACTTATTTTATAAAAGATAAAGTCACTCGACCATCGATCAAAACCTTAGTCATGTGTGTTATAAGCAAATTAACCTTATTATAAGTAAGAAATGAATCACATTATTATAACTTACTGTTTTAAATCATAATAAGTATAATGTATTATAACATATTTTCCCATAGAAATGAGAAAATCTCCCATGGTAAAAAGTAGCCTATGTCATTCTCCAGCCCTCTAACTATCTCCACACTAAAAATCATGCCAATCCGTCACTCTGTTTCGACGTGAAATAAGGTATTCATGTTAGAAATGATGCACACATGAAAATATCAAAGGTGCGACACCCGGGGTTTGAACCCGCATCACTCAGTTTCCCAAGCAAGTGCATTACCACTAGGCTACCACTGCCTCTCAACATATTCGATTATCTAATAGTACTACACAAGAATAAATTGCTTCTAACATTCTAGGATGGTCTCGCTTGTATTAAAAAGAACAAAATATGCGTTGATAAAATAAATAAGCCTTATTACATACAAAATAGGGGAAAAACTTACATCATCAGCACTTTTCAGCTTCAAATCTTCCATGCTCCGACTTTGATTCAGCTTAAGTGAATTCAGAGTCCCGTACTGGTTGTCGAAAGGAACATCATATATGTGTTCTTTTTCCACAAAAAATTTAGATTTTTCCTTCTTACACTTACAATGTAAGTGACACTTAAAACCTGAAGTTTTATCGTTAGATTGGCACTTTATACACTTATCTGTTAAAAACGTTGTCACATTATTCAAATTTTCATTGCTACATGAACATATATTGGAACTTAGTCTTGTATATGGCAAGCTTAGAGTTGAGTTATTCGTTAGTATGGCACAGTTTAAGGAATTAAAACATTTAGAAAATGGATCTTTGCTAGAATTCCGTTGTGTAATGTCTAATAATTCAGTACATAAGTAATGCATTTCTTTTGGTTTTTTGACATTTTCATCTATTTCGGCAATATCATAAATATTTTTACTGGGATTAGTATTTTGGTGTTGTGCTTCTCTTTTATGTAACACTTGTTCAAGTTTTTCTAACATTTTTTTTGGGTCTTTCTTATCTTTTTCAGGAGGTTCAGATGTGGATGGGTTTAAAAAGGTTCTAGGTGGTTTTTTAGGTGGTGGGCCAGCCGGCAATGGTTGCTTTAAAGCTTTTTTCAAAGTATCTGTTAAAATCAGGTGAGGGTTTTTACGTTCTAATTTCATTGTTTCACTGGATGCACATAAATCATTCATTATCTCCAAATTAGGCTTTGATTCAACTAGAATTTTTGGATTTTCATACTGGGATACCAATTTTTTAATTTTATTACTTTTTTCCTCTTCAATATTCTCAGTTTCTGAACTAACACCACTATCAGTCATAGAATCCTGCCGATTTTCAGGTTTTTTATTTTTTATAACTTTGGCATACTGATCTAATATATGCTTTGGGACTTGTTCGTCAGGTATGGAATCCACAGCCTTCACCTCCTGGACTTCACCCACAATAACACAATCCTCTAAATTCGGCTTGAAATTATCCTTCCTCATTTGATCTTCTAGAAAGTTCCCGAGCTGCTTTAACCGTTCTTTACTTAATTTCTGTTCACCCATTTTTAATGAAAAATCACTGGTTTCAGACCTACCGTTACAGCTACCGTGCCTTTTCGGACTTGGGTTAATTTTCTGGCTTTTGTCACAACGGAAAGCGTGGCTTCTGTGTAGCTTCTTCCCTGGATCACTGGTTTGTCTCGTTAGAGATGATTTTGCATCACTTAAACTACGTTTCACGTCATTTTTACTGTACAAATAACTTGAATTCGGTTTCGGCGACCACTCGTCAGAATCTGATTCATTATTGTGCTTTTCCTTAAATAAATTATGGTCATTTTCATTACGTACGTTATCTTTTTCGGTGGTTTGTATGGAATCCTGTTTCAACGACTTTTTCCTAATAACGTAATCTGGTTCTGTACTCAAACTCTCAAATTTACTTTTAATAGCTTGTACTCTGTTTTTAGGCTGCGCCAACATTATTTCATGTATTTAAAATACATTTTCGAGAACGAAATCACTTTATAATTAACATTAATCCGTCACGTACTGTTATATTATTGAAACACTTTCCAACACGAAATTAAATTTTTTAATTGGAACACAAAAACAGATGTAGCTGTATGTAATCAACCTGTTGATTATTTTTCTTTTACTAATAACCACAATTATTGTCCTAATCACGTTTAAAATATTAAGTAGCCACTACGTAGATGTTAACATAAAATATTAATTGCAAGAAATGTAATAAAACTATTACAAAACACGATAAACTTGCACTTGTCACAAAGTTTACAAAACAGTTGACTACATTCGTATCGCGAGGGCATGGCACTCTGAGATTGCCAGATAAAAGATAACTAACAAAATCCGCCGACATTGTTTGTAAGCATTTATTTAAATTTATTAATAATAAATAACTATATCTCTTATAACTTATTAATCATATAATATTAATATTTTGTGATATTTCTCTCTTTATATTTTTAAATATTTAAGAAAATTATTTGTAAGAATTAAAATTCATTTATCTGATAAAGATTTTTGCCTAAAGTCATATTTTTTGTTGAAAAAGATTATTTTAAAGATAAACACTGATTACGAAATAGGGAAATTTCTTTCTAAGCGATAGTCGTACCAAAATATTTTATATTTATAAAAACAATTAAAAATATTATATGTATATATTTTATAATTATTACTAAAAATGAGCACAATTTATTAAATATTTAATAAAACTAATATACTGCAAATTAAAAGCAATATATAGTTTTGCAGTAAAAAAATTAACGCCATCTTGTATCAAATGAAGGTACTTCTATGTAAATACACATTCCGTTTTAAAAAATTACTCACAAATAATACGAGCTATTTTTCGGACTATTTTTGTTAGCTTAAATAGATAATAGATGTCGTTGATTGTCAAATACTTAAACTGTTTTATTTTATAAATATGTGCAAATTAATATATATGTAAAATTCATCCTGCATTCGATAAAACAAATTGCAAAAATTTCGACTATTTTAAAACGTGAAACAATTCATAAAAAGTAAGAGCGCCATCTGTGGATATACACTACAAACCTATCATCAGATTGCTGATATTTCAATATTCAGTAAAATCACGCTAATTCAATTTACGAGGCATTATTTAGTTTCCCTTCACTTAGAATATTTTTTAAAACAATAATATAGGTACCGTTTTGGGATCTATTATTTATCTTTTGTTAATTTAACACAACTTATATCAAATCGATACATGTAACGTCATCTGTTGACATTTATTTGAACTAATTCTTCTTAGTTTGTCATGAAACCCACGGAATAAAAAGTGTGTGTGTATTTATGTACGCACGTAAGAAGTTATACTTCTTTGGCGTAACAGAACAAAAATAATACAAAGTGTATGTGTATTTATGTACGCACGTAAGAAGTTATACTTCTTTGGCGTAACAGAACAAAAATAATACGTCCAAAAAAATTTCCTGCATATCAATATTATATATTTGTAAAAACAACAATAAAAGAGTAATATAAAGACATTAAATACAATTGATAAAGGTTTAATCAATAAGTATTATTATAATGGAATGAAGAATTTAATTTACAATAAAGAATATCACACAAATATACCTAATTATATCTAATCTACAAAACTAGCATTGCCCGTGGCTCCGCCCACGTTCAGATGACCGAAAACCGAACTCTTAGGTTTTACACATAGTATAGGTACTCTTACATTGCAGTTGTTGTATTTTTTTCTCAGTAATGAGATATTTTCCCGCGGTAAAAAGTATCCTATATGTTGACCAATATAACCAGCTATTACCATACCAAATTTCATCAAAATCCCTCTAGTGGTTTTTCCGTGATGCGGTAACAGACAGACAGACAGAAATTCTAAAAACTATAAATTCGGCCTCTGTATCGATAATCATGTTTATTTCAATAAGATTTTCCAAAAAAATATTTAATGTACAGATTCGTCTAAGTTACAATTTTATTATATGTATAGATAGATAAAAGTACACTTAATTTTTACTGTACAAGTCATGTCGTGGAATAGTGACAAGAATGCTAGCCGCATTCCCCCGCTGAATGACAATGCCGATTCTTTGGGTGAAGAAGAGCCAGCTCTCCTGTCACCAGTAGAGGCGGAAATTTAACGATCTTTCAAATTCAAATTCGAAATATTTTATTCAGCATTAAATTATTACAATATTTTACTGAACGTCACGAGTCTACTACCAGTTCGGAAAGAAGAAGCCTCAGACCTGAGAAGAACTGGCGAAAGAAACTCCGATCTGTATGGTAAAATCGAGAATAGTAGCATAAACAACAAACCAGGCTACTATTTTTGACTTTAACTATTGGCGGACTCCGTACTAAAATATTAAAGTCTGAGTGATGGAGATTGGAGACACGAGGTGAGTGAACACATTAATATGGTTTTTTAAAGTAATTTTTTTTGCTTTTTTCGTTCCATGCTGTTACTTGTTGAAATTACATATCTATATTTTTATACTAGCCGTTTACCCTCGCTTTGATCAGGTTCGCCTCTAGAAAAACAAAAACAAATCTATCCCACGGGAACCGTACATTTTTCCGGGATTAAAATTAGTCTAAATGTTATTCTGATGTATGAGCTATATTATTGTAAAGTTTCATCAAAATCCATTCAGTAGTTTTTGCGTGAAAGAGTAACAAACACACATCCATACTTACAAACTTTCACATTTATAATATTAGTATAGATAACAAACTAGCGCCTTACCATCCCTAGGTATGTTTTAATTTTTTTGACAAGTAGCTGAAGTTACTCCTTATAACATCAGCTATCTGCCAGTGAAAATGCCGTCAAAATCGGTCCAGCGGTTTCGGAGATTAGCCGGAATAAACAGACAGATAGACAGACAAAAATTTTAAAATTCATGTTTTTCTTATAAGTAGGTACTTAAAACTAACGTAAAACTTTCATGTGCATTTAGTAAAAAGTTGTTATTTTGACATTACAAGCAGACACTTCAATTTTATTTATCTGTATAGATTATATAGGTATACAAGCATTGCCCGCAGCTCCGCCTACGTTCAGATGACCAAAAACCAAATTCTTAGGTTTTACATATTAGTATACTCTTACATTGCAGTTTTTGTATTTTTTTCCGGGGTAAAAAGTATCCTATATGTTGACCCGGATAACCAGCTATCCCCATACTAAATTTCATCAAAATCCCTCCAGTGGTTTTTCCGTGATGCGGTAACAGACTGACAGACAGACAGAAAGACAAGAATTCTAATAACAATAGATTAGGCCTCTGTATCGACAATAATGTTTATTTCAATAAGACTATCCAAAAAAATTTTAATGTACAGATTCGGCTTAGTTACAATTTTATTATATGTATAGATTACTTGTGACATGAAGTGATACGAGTACATAAACGGTAGCAGTAAAAAACGGTACAGATAAAAAATATAATCCATGTCGTATCATCGTAGTATGCTAATATATAATTTGTTAATACTTCTAAAAAAGTGGAAAATTACATTATAAGATACTTTTTGCAGACGTCTTATGCTTATTCAATACTAGCGTTTCCTCCCGGCGTTATTCAATTTTGTATTACTAATTACAATATCTTTATAAATTACTAGCCCCTAATCATCCTCGCTTCGCACGGGTTCGTTCCTAGTAAAAACAAAAACATGCCTATCCCACGGGAACCATACACTTTTCCGGGATAAAAAGTAGCCTATGTGCTATTCCAGACTATAATCTATTTCTGTGCCAAATTTCATTCAGATCCGTTCAGCCGTTCTGTCGTGATTGAGTAACAAACGTCCATCCCTTCAAACTTTTGCATTTATATAGTAGTAAGATATTACTGTAAAGTTTTATTCGGTGGTGTAGTGGCTAGCATGTACGGCTGCACACCCGGAGGTCCTGGGTTCGAGTCCCGGGTCGGGCCAAGTTTAGTTATTGAGTCTTTCTGTATGTATTTGTGTATGTAAGCCTCAGTAACAGCCCGGAGTTGGGAAGTTGGCGGTGTTTCACCCCCGTGCCTCGGAGAGCACGTAAAGCCGTCGGTCCTACGCCTTAACTCCCACCGGTCGTGTCGAGTGGTCGTCACACCGGAGTATGAGAGTGACAGGAATAGAGAGTGCACGTTGTGTCTGCGCGTACACTTGTGCACTATAATATCTCCTGAGCAGTTGGCTAGTCTCAATGAGATTGGCCGCCGTGGCCGTCTGTCTGTTACCGCATCACAGAAAAACCACTGGAGGGATTTTGATGAAATTTGCTATGGTAATAGCTGATTATCCGGGTCAACATATAGGTTACCTTTTACCGCGTGAAAATGTCTCATTTCTCAGAAAAAATACAAAAACTGCAATGAAAGAACTAATATTTAAAACCTAAGAATTTGATTTTTGGTCATTTAAACGCGGGCGGAGTCGCGGGCAATATATATAAATAGGCAAAACCAGAACACTTCAGTACCTTTTGTTCGCATCTGTTTATAAACGAATCTTATTTTTGTTTACGTATTAGTTCGCGACGAGCTTTATATTAGTAAAAAAATTGGCCACAATTTTTTATATGATGTTATCCTATTAAATCGCCATGGAACTTATGGAATATAAAAATTTAAGATATATTTTTTTCTTACAGATGTTGTTGTTATGTTGTAAATGGTGTATACTAAAAGTTTTTCAGTAAATTAAAAATGACCGTGTATATTATATGATATATAGCCTATAGCCTTCCTCAATAAACGGGCTATTTAATGCAAAAGAAATTTTCAAATAGAATTAATAGTTCCTGAGATTAGCGCGTTCAAACAAACAAACAAACAACAAATAAACAAACAAACGAATTGTGTCTCTACATAATATTATCATAGTATATACTAGCGAACTTAACCTACAATCGCTTCGCTCAGGTGCGTCCCTATTGTACGCGAGTTTTGTTCACAAAT